TCTTTTACAGTTTTTATGGTTTCAGGTATAACATTTAAGTCTTTAACCCATTTTGAATTTATTCTTGCATGTGATATAAGAAAGTGGTCTAGTTTCATTATTCTGTACACATCTATCCAATTTTCCTAACACCATTTATTTTTTTAAATATTTTATTTATTCATTTTTATACAAAAGGGGAGGGAGGGAGAAAGAGAGGAAAAGAAACATCAATGTGTGGTTGCTTCTTTTTCACCTGACCCACAACCCAGGCATGTACCCTGATTGGGAATTGAACCAGCGACCTTTCGGTTCACAGGCCAGTGCTCAATCTATTAAGCCACACCAGCCAAGGCCAACACCACTTATTGAATAAACTATCTTTAGCCCATTGTATGTGCTTGCTTCCTCTGCCAAATACTAGTTGACTATAAAGTTGTGGGTTTATTTCTGGGCTCTCTATTCTGTTCCAATAATCTGTGTATCTGTTTTTATGCCAGTGCCATGCTGTTTTGATTACTGTGGCCTTTAATGTAGTTGAATACTTTATCTATACTTTTTATAGTATAGTTTCAACTTTATTTTTCCTCAAGATCACTGCTGCTATGCAGGGCCTTTTGTGGTTCCATATAACTATGTGAAATATTTGTCCTAGTTCTGCGAAATATGTCATTGGAATCTTGATAGGAATTGTGTTGAAGCTATAGATTGCTTTGGGTAGTATGGACATGTTAATATTGTTAATTCTTCCTATCCATAAAGTATTCTATTAAAAATACTCAGTTTACTAAGTCAACTCATGGTGATTTGGCTTCATAATATATTGCTCTGTAAAATGTTCAACTAGCTACAGGTTTTTTTGTTTTTTTTTTTAATTGGGATATTCTTGCTCTATATCTGTTCATTGTCTTGGGTTAAGTCTTTTCCTGCTGTTTTTCTGTGTTGTTTTGTTTTTCATTTCTCTCTCTAACTCCTAGGTACACTCATTCAGTAATTTGAAAAGACATATGGAAGAAAGCATGGAGAAGAAACTAGACTTTTGTTTCTGTTTTTAAATTTGGCATATGCTTCCTCAGCATAGTTTACCTCAGAAGTTATTTTAGAAGTTTTTTCCCTGGAATTCCATGAACTCTATTGCACTGACATTTTAAGTGACTACTTTTGTTTGTCCAGCAGTTGGTCCAGCTGAATTAGTTCCCACAGTAATGCCCATAAAGTTGAAAAAATCTGACTCGTTCTTCCTTATTGGTGGAGAAGGAACACATGTTGCTATGCATAAAATAAAATTGCCAGTCTTTGAAAAATTACCTTTGCAGTATCTAATGGAATAATGTGCAAGTGTTTTTGTTGAATTCTGAAAATATTATATCTCATAATATTTTTGCACATGGCTAAACCTAAGGAATATGTTCTACACATTTTTTTCATTTAATAAAACTAAGTCATCAGCCAGGAATGCCAGCTCTTCATTGAATATTCCACCAGGCTTTAGAAGGGTCATCATATTCTACACAGTAGAAAGGGGTACACAGTTTTATGTACTGGCCAGCATAAATGCATTCCCTCCTGGAGTTATTTTCATTCTGCATTGAAATCCTCTATCTCCTTAGCATTTCTAAGTTTTCAGAAATAGAAGGAGATCATGTCATAAAACATTTGTCTGCTTGTGACATCTCGCCAAGGCTTCTGGGCACAAGAGCAGTGCCAGGGGAAAGCTTCATCATTTAATAGGAAAATATTCGCCAGTGTTAAGTCTCTCTATTTGTGGACCACTCACTGCAAAGTGAAAAGATACTTCCTGACTTCCAGTCAAGATGAAGGCACAGGTAAACACGGCTTGCTCTCTCTAACAACCACAGCAAAAAACAGCTGGACTACAAAACAAATTTGACCCCAAATCATCAGAAAATCAAGCTGTATGGAAGTCTGACAATCAAGAAATTAAGGAAGCCACATTCATCAAGATGGGCCACACTACTAAGCTGCTCTGCCTAGTACCCACACAGAAAGGCAGCCAAAATGAGGAGACAAAGAAACGTGGCCCAAAGGAAAGAGCCCAACACAAGTCCAGAAAAAGAACTAAACAAAATGAAGGTAAGCAATCTATCACGTACAGAGTTCAATACACTGATTATGAAGATGCTCAAGGAACTCATAGGGTACTTCAACAGCATAAAAAAGATCCAGGCATAAATTAAGGTTACACTAAGTGAAATAAAGAATAATCTACAGGGAACCATCAGTGAAGTAGATGAAGCCAAGAATCAAATCAATATTTTGGAACATAAGGAAGAAAAAACATTTAATCAGAACAGCAAGAAGAAAAAATAATCCCCCCAAATTAGGATAGGTTAAGGAGCCTTTGGGACATCTTCAAACATACCAACATTCAAATTGTAAGGGTGCTAGAAGGAGAAGAGAAAGAACAAGAAATTGAAAACTTATTTGAAAAAATAATGAAAGAAAACTTTCCCAATTTGGTGAAAGAAATAGACATACAAGTACAGGAAGCACAGCAAGTCCCAAACAAGATGGACCCAACAAGGACCACACCAAGACACATTGTAATTAAAATGCCAAAGGTTAAAAATAAAAGGAGAATCTTAAAAGCAGCAAGAGTTACCTACAAAGGCAGAGTTACCTACAAAAGCAGAGTTACCTACAAAGGAGTTCCCATAAGATGATCAGCTGATTTCTCAAAAGAAACTTTGCAGGCAAGAACTATACAAAGTGACGAAAAGCAAGCACCTACAACCAAGATTACTTTCTCTGGCAAAACTATCATTTAGAATGAAGAACAGATAAAGTGCTTCCTAAGCAAGGTAAAGCTGAAGGAGTTCATCATCACCAAGCTCTTATTAAATGAAATGTTGGAGGGACTTATTTAAGAAAAAGAAGATCAAAATTATAAATGTTAAAATGGCAATAAATAAAATAAATAATTGTTGATCCATAACTTTCAAAAATTAAATCTGAAAAACAAAGTCAGCGATAAGCAGAACAGGAATAGAATCATAGATATGGAGATCATTTGGAGGGTTATCAGTTGGGAAGGGGTAGCAGGGGAAAAGGTGCAGGGACTGAGAAGTACAAATTAGTAGGTACAAAATAGGCAGGGGGATGTTAAGAACAGTATAGGAAATGGAGTAGCCAAAGAACTTATATGCATGACGCATGCACATAAACTAAGGGGGAGGACTGCTGGAGGAAATGGGAGGTACTGGGTGGAGGCAGGCTAAGAGGTAAAAATTGGGGTAACTGTAATAGTATAACAAATAAAATATCTTTTAAAAATATACTTCCCTATGTCTTACTATGGTGAATACTGAAGCCAACAAACTATAGATAGAAATTTACAATATAAAACTAAATGCACACTGACAATAACTTTTTATTTCCAAAAGAAAAAGAATCAAAATCTTGAATAACTACATTTAATGTAACAGAGATTTTTGTATCTTTCTTTTGAATTGTATCCTCCCTCCCCCCATGGAGACATAGGAAAAACAAACTCTTCATTTAGTGTGTGAGTAGGAGAAGCTAACTTTGGAAGGGGACGTGCTGGGTTTTGGTCTGTGTCACACTATTTAGGGGGCAATAGAAAAGTAGTGCAGTACAACATTTTGAATCAGTGAGCGCACTGAGAACTTTATTGCCTTGATGTGACCTAGTTCTTTCATAAATGAGATTTGATAATAACATTGACAGTGGCGAAGAAAAGCATTTCCTCATTTACTTGACGTCAACATATCTAGTTCCCAAAGTGAAACAGAAATGCTCTAAAAGTCTAGAAGAAATTTGAAATAAATAATAAGAAATTAGTCCCTTACGGCTTCACAGAATGAATCAAACCTCTTCTAATGTAGTCTCTGAATATTTTAATCTAAGAAACCAAAATATACTGATATCAAACTAAGAGATTCATTCAACTGTGGATTATTTCTTCCAGACGGCGTAACTGGGGCTTTTACTTGTAATTGCTGCTACTTTTGCCAAACAAACTGGGAAATGGGGGAGAAAAAGCATTAATGAAATCAGAACAACAAAAAAGTTCAGTAATGTTACATAAAACAGATGTTAGTTTTAAAACACTAAAAGAGGAGAATCCATGGTGGCTATGATTCCATTGGGTATTGTTCCACGAAGTGAAAGCTTTCAGGTTCGATTCCTAGTCAGGGCACATGCCCGGGTTGTGGGTTTGGTCCCCATTGGGACACGTTTGAGAGGCAACCAATCGATGTTTCTCTCTTTCTCCCTCCCTACCCCTCTCTCTAAAATAATAATAATAACAGTGGAAAAATATATAAAACTTTATGTTCTATGTGCTGTAAGATGTCCAGTTTTATATAAAATAAGGTATACACATGATTAATACACAGAAGAATAAAATCATTTAAAGGCTATAAATATTAATAGTGGTGAAGTCTAACTAGTGGTATTATGGAGCATTTTAAACTTCTGAGCTATACCGGCTTTATTATATTTTTCAAATTTTTTACCATGAATATGGGCTATTCTTATAAGTAGAGGGAAAATAAATGCTATAAAATATCTGAAGTTTTACACAAATTTTAAAAATAGTGTTTTGTGTTTATGAGGAGCTATAATGTTTCAAATGTAAAACTACTCAGCATATGAAACTAATTGGATTGCATGTTCTTCATCACAACATTTCCTTCTATAGAATTTGCTACGTTTTTTTTGTTTTATTGTCCTCTTTAATTTCCCCATACCACAGTTTTCCCAGTAAAAACTATATAATATCTTTGCCTTTGCTGATAACTTCCACTCTTCTCACTAAAAATTCATGTCTGTAAGTTTCCTTAAAATGTATCATAAAGCTGCCTCCCTTTAGTAGGTCTTTTCTGATTAATTCTGTCCCAGTATGATTACTTTTTAATGTAAATCTTCAGCTGTTATGCATTTAATTTTAAGGAATTACTTAATGGTTGTTGTTATGCTGCTTTGTATAATAATTCTTTGCAAATTAATTTGTAAATATTTTGTTTATTTACTTTTAGAGAGAGAGAGAGAGGGAGAAAGAGAAGTATTTATGTGTGAGCACGCCCCCCAACCAGGGACCTGGCAACCTGGACATGTACCCTGACCTGGAATCAAACTGGTGACCTTTGGCTTCTTCGGATGATGCCCAACCCACTGAGCCACATCAGTAAGATCTGCAAATTATTTTTTAACAAAGCATTCTTTTGTACCTAGAGGATAAATTCTCAAAGTACAGAGGCCAGGGCTTCACTATTTGCGCCTCCGGTAAAGCTACTGGAAGAGTGAATCTACATTCATTAAATGACTGAGAGTGCATAGTAACAGGGTGAACCAAGAATCTTGTGAGAAAAACTAATCAGAGATATTTGGGCAAAATTCTTCACTCTTAAATGCTGCTTGAATCACATCTCTCTGTCTGATGTCTGCTCAGCTCTGCGGCTCTGTGGGTTTTGAGGGAGGGTGTCTGGGCTATCAGGTCTCCACTTTATACTATGGACTTACTGTTTTGGGAGGCAGGAACCCTGGGAGGATGGCCCAATGTCAGATCTCATAATGGCTTTTTGACCAATCCCTTAGTCCCTAAATGACAACATTTTTCTATATTAGGTAGTGTTTGATAATTGGGTATTGTGTTATTTTGAATTATTTTTATATTTTCTATTGTCAGTTCCAAAGTCACACAATTCATAGGACTAGAGGAGAGTGAACAGTTACTTACATTCTCTTAGAAAGTATAATGCACAGGTTGGAAATTAGTGCCTTTTTACATATTTAACCAACTTTCTTTTTAAATAGATTTTTACTCACTGAAATGTGGCATTTGACAAAGGTTCAAAATTGGAAAGCTCAGAGCAGGAAGTTACTATGGTGCTTGGGACTTGTTCTTTCCAATAACAATAGTTTTTTAAAGGGGAAAATTTACGGGGGCAATTGTTCTATACAAAAGAAAATCTAAGGGAAAAAAATTGGGAGTTAGAGAAGGAGGCTACCTAATTGACAACTTCTTATTTCTAGTCTAAGTAATATTTTTCTCCACATCTAAATAGACGTCCTTGCACCTTTGCGTCAGGGCTTTGCTGCTGCAGCTGAGAGAGGGCTGAAGCAGCAATGCCTGCATTTTCCTCCTCCAACCGAGGTGTCTCCTGTAAAAGGTGGTTCTGGGGATGGCACCGCGCAGCAGCTGCCTCAGCAGGGGGTGCATTCCTTACACTGTCTCCATGTCCTGCTCTTGACTAAGCGGCAAGATAACCTAAAACATTGGGAATTAGAAAGGTGTCTTTTGCTGGTAGCAGAAGAGCCACCAATGGACTAGGGTTTGGTTGTCCAAAATAACTGTCTTGTTTGTTTTCTTTTATTCTGCTTTCTCTTTTCTTGAGTAGCAGTGTGGCCATGCCTGGCTTTCAAGTTTACAGAATTCTAATAGACACAAGGAAATGTTTCTTTTCAGTTTACTATGTCTCCCACATAAGCACTGTGTATGGAATAGTTTCGAAGTACAAAGTTTGTGAGCACAGTAGAAATTATTGGAGCTCCTCTCCTGTGAGTGTGGTCCTCACAGTGGTCCTTTCTGCAGTGAATGTGTTCATGCTCTCATGGAACAAAGAATGGACGAAGCATCGGATTCTCTTCCATTTTACTCCAACCAGACTCTATATATTCCCTCCACAGTATACAGATGTGGTGTCGCCATGTGGTACCTGCTGGGTGTGAAGTAGAAATCCTGCTACACTTATAGCATGTGTATCCAGCAGGTTTGCTGGATGACCCTAGGCCCACTGGGCATCGTTCAGAACTCATCCCAGTCTTTTTGGAAACCAAGCTACTCTGTGTCAGTGATGTGAAACCCGCAAGTTAGGACACTTGCAAAGACAGGATGAAAACCATCCACGATGCAGGGGTCTGGACTCAGAATATTGCTTTCCTCTTCTGTTGGTCCTGACCTTAGCCCTTTCAAGTGCTGCTTGGCGAGATCTGCTTGTACTTGAGTAGTGCAGACTTTCCTTCCCAGGCAATCCAATGAATCCACCTTCGTTTAAAATTGGTGGTCTTTGTCTCTTACCGTCTAATATGGGATACGTGTGATTAGTCAGGTAGATGGAAGAGACAGGGTTGTAGATACAGGAAGGACGTGTGACTTTGTTTCTCACCATTAAAGTAATTGAACCTACTTCTCTGGGTTGTCGTGATATCCAGACAAGTTAGTACAAGTAAAGTGCTTCGGCCAGGGCCTGGCGCGTGGTCACATTGAGCTATTATTATTAGTTCTGTAATTTGGGGCGACTGCTATCATTTTCCAGCACCTGAGAACAGGGCCTAAGTGCACCTGACAAACGCAGACTTCCGGGAACCGCTAAGGGTTGAATGAAAGACTTTAATCTGCGAGTGAACTGTAGGACTTTTAAAATTTAAATTAAAACAAATAACAGTTATAATGCCATCTATTTGGTTAAGGGCTCCAGGTATTAGCTACAATTTCAATCAGGGAAACTTATGAAAAATGAAAAGCTCATGAGACCCTAAGCTAGGTGCTTGCATTGGAATGTGAAAAGTTAAAGGCAGAGCAAAGGAATTCTGTGTTTATAAAGAGGCCTAGTAATTTGTTTATTGATTCAGTATCTGGGATCAAAAACCAACAAGGTACCAAAAAGGAAGGCAGTATAAAAAGACGGAAATATTCTAGTAAAATCACTTTAAAGTGGTTAGCTGTGGCTTCCAGTAGCTACTTGAAATGTTGGGAGGGTAAATCATAGTGTCAGGAAACATGGAAGTGTCCTCCTCTTTGATAAAGTTGTACTCACGCCCGCACGCCCCGCCCCCAGGCTCCGGCTGGCTGGCCCCGCCCCCGCTCCAACACACATGGATGACCGCTTCATGGGAGGGTGCACATTCCTTAACAGCATTATCTCCAGAAGCATGGGTGGAAGACACTGATACAAACTAATATTTGTAACCAGTAGTTCATACGTACATTCATAGCATGTGTTTTAATAGGAAATTTGCCTAATTACGATTGTGCTTTATAATTTCCATGCTACATGGATTTTAAAGTTAACATTTCCCCTCCCTGTCACTTGATAAGCACTTAGGTTGTAAACTTAGTGCCAGATGTTGCCTCACATGCCTTGGATATCACTGTAGAAAATTAGTTTAAGGGTTACTCCTTTGTTGTTTCTTAAGACCTGCTGATTTATTTTCTGCCCCACTGAATAGCAGTTTATTGACAGATTAACTGTTTATACAAGAAACACTGTCTAGTCTACTATGGAATTTTACCTCAGAAATTTTGCATCCCAACACCAGGACTAACAAAATAAGACATATAAGAAACCTGTTTTCAAAGGGGAACACTGGCTGCTCTGGGTCATTGGTTTTGGCTTCTCGTTTGAGACTTGTCTGTGTCAGTTTTCTAAGAAGGTGAAAATGTGGTGTGGAGAAAAAGTAGTAGAAAATTTTTTTTCATACATTTCCTCTGCAGTGTTCAGAACTACCTCATGAAAATCTGTACTGAAGTATACAACTTGTTTGGCTACTACTATGTTAATATCCCCTAGTGGTCTCTTTCTCCCCAGTTTAATCTGTATAAACTATATGTTCAATTAAAGTTCCTCATCTAAATCATAAAACAGAGAAAATGACTTAAGTGAGTATATCTTCAATCCCTTCAAAGATGATACATACCCAGGACCTCTCTAGCTGCATTGGACAGAAGTTTGTTCATTGCATACGGTGGACGCTGTCATCAACAGGGATTCATTCTCTCAAACTTGGCTACAAGTGGCCAGTAAACATTCAAGTGTACTGTTGGATGGGATTCACAGGATACATGTTATGGCCGACCAAAGGCTAAGGGTCAAAAGGCTTCAGAGCTGGATGTGGTCGAACTGATGTTCAAATGAGAATTCAAGATAATTCCTCCTCCAATTCTATAGGTTTTTTTTCTGTTTTAGACATACAAGTTAATTTTGTTGTTGTTTATTGAGGTATAATTTACTCACAGCAACGTTCTTTTTTAGATGTAAAGTTTGAAGAATTTTGACAAGTTTATACACTCATATAACTACCACCCAAATCAAGATATAGGATAATCCCTCATGACCATTTAGTAGATTCTCCTCCTCACCTCCAACTACCAGCAACCACGGAGCTCATATTTTTTTCTACTTTTGTTCTTTCCCATAATATCACATCAACTGAATCATTTACTATGTAATTTCTTGAATCTGACTTTTTTCTCTTAGCAGAATGTTCCAGCGACTCACCCATGTTGTTGCATGTATTGGTAGTTCTTCCTTTTTTATTGCTAGGTGGATATAACATAACTTATTTATTTATCAGTTGATGGACATTTGGGGTTGTTTTTAGCTTTTAGCATTTAGAATAAAGTTGCTGTCAACATTCATATGCAGGTTTTTGTGTGGACATAGGTTTTCATGTCTCTAAGGTAAATACCTACTTATAAGTTTAACTTTATAAGAAACTGCCAAATCTTTTTCCAAAGTAGAATTAGCACCAGCAACATGTAAGTGTTCGAGCTACTTGGCACCCTCATCAGCATTTGATATTGTCTTACATATTTTTAATCTGAGCCATTCTAGTAGGTGTGTGGTGTTACCTCACTGTGTCTTTCAAATTTAAGTTTATAAGATCTGTTATGAAAGACACATCAAATAATGGAAGATGTGTTGGACGTCAGAGAGATGGTTTCTGTTTTGTTTTTTTTTTAGAAGATTTTATTTATTTATTTTTAGATAGAGGGGAAGGGAGGGAGAAAGACAGGGAGAGAAACATCAGTGTGTGGTTGCCTCTCTTGTGCTTCCCACCGGGGACCTGCCCATAATCCAAGCATGTGCCCTGACTGGAAATTGATCTGGTGACCCTTTGGTTCACAGGCTGGTGCTTAATCCACTGAGACACAGCAGCCAGGGCTCTGCTATTTTGTTAATTTTGGACATTGGGTTTTTACCATGTCCTCCTACTGATATTGTACCACTGGGCTATCACTAATCTAAAATCACAACTATGCAGCATGTAAGCATAAATGGCTTCAGCAGGCACAGCCTCTTTGCTTCCTAGCCAGGTTAGGATCCTGCCATCACAAGAGTTATGATGAATCATTACAAGTTTTTGCTTCTTTTTTCACACAGTGTGTTAAGGAAATGCCTACCA